TAACACTTTTTATAACATGAACAAACAAGCTGGAGACTGAGAAAAGATATTTGCAAAGCACATATTTAATAAAGGGTTTGTATACAAAACACATCCCATAGTAGCTTCATAATATGAAGACGCATAATTTTAAAAACAGGTGAATGATTTGAAAATACACTTCCCCAAGATGCTCAACACTATTTTATGTAAAATTGGAACTACAATGGGATAACATTGCAAACTAATTCTAATTTCTAAAATTACAAAGACTCATAATTCCAAGGTCTAGAGAGTCTGTGGAGGAACCAAAGCTTTCATATACTGCTGATTGGAATGTAAAATGTCATGGTCACCATGAGAACAGTTTGGGGATATTTTTTAAATAATGTTAAACATGTCCTCACTACGGTTCCAACGTGATGCAGTAAATCCACACCTAGTAAAGGGCTTATCGGAAGAAGAGATGTGTCTGTTTCTGAGTTTCAGAGAAATGAAAATGCATGTCCGCACAGAGGCCTGTTCATGAATATTTATAGCAGCTTTCTCCACAGTAGCCAAACTCGGTAAGTAACCCGAACATTTATTAATTGGTGAAGGGATAAGTGAACCATGGTTCATCACACAATACAATTGTACTCAAAAATAAAGGAACAAACTACTGGTATTTACTACAACATGGATGAATCTCAACAAATGTATGCCAAGTGGAAGAAGTTGAAATGAAAAACTATGTGCTACACAATTCCACTTATATTGGGGACAAAAAAGGAAAAATGGAGGGAAAAATCAGCTGAAGCTAGGGAGAATGGATTGAGCACTAAGGACCACTCTTTGGGGTGTTGGGCATAATCTACATCTTGACTGTGGTGGGAGTTGCACCACTGTATATATTTGTTGAAACTTTCCAAATCTTGTCTTTTAAGAGAGTAAATTTTACTGGGTGTTAATTAAAACTCAGAAAAACTAACCAAAATAAATGAATATAATAAATAGTCCCTTGGCAAAAGAATGGACTTGGTTCACTAGCTACCCACATAGAAAAAAATTAATCTTTACTCTCTATCTCAGACCATGTATAATGAAATGGAGTCTACATGAATTATAGATTAAAATGTAAGGGTAAAATAACAAAGCTTTCAGAAGAAAGCATAAAATATCTTTGTGATCTTGGAATAAGGCCAAGATTTTTTAATCTAACTACAAAGGAAAAAATTGATCCTTGACACTATTTTAAAGRAATTTTCATTCCTTAGAAATAGAGTAAAAAGGGAAATCAAAAAAAGAGAAGATATTTGCACTGTGTGTGTGTGTGTTCTAGTCCTACCAAGGCCTTATGTCCAGAATACATGTCATTTAAAATGTCTATAATTAAAAATATAATTTAATAAGAAAGGCAACTCAATTTTTTCACATTTTTTAAAACATTTGAAAGTGCTTTTCACAAAACAAGATATCCAGTAGTCAATTCATCTATGAAAAGATTCGCAGCCACATTAGTCTATAAGGAAATGCAAATTAAAAATTGAATGTTACGATACAAAATACCCACAGGAAGCAATTCAATGAAAGTAAATAAATAAATAAAAACAGAAATATCTTGTATTGGAAAGAACATGGAGAAATTAGAACACTCATGTACTCCTGGTTGGAGTATAAATTTTGAAACTGATTCAACCATCTCAGAAAACTGATAGTATCTTCTAAAGCAGACCACGGATCCTAAGTCCCAGAAACTCCCCTCTTGCACATGTAGCCAAAAAACATGCACCTGTAACCAAAAGTGTAACAACAAAACTGACTAGAGAAAAAATACCAAAAAAGTCATAAACTCAATMCATAGGTGAGAATATCAGACCCAGTTTTACTGTCAAGTTCCACCATACATTCAAATAGCAAGTAATTCCAATATTTTAAAAATCAATTCTGATAAGGAAAATACTAGAAAGAAATTTTTTATTCAATCTAACTTATGAATACAGTCTAGCAAACTACATATAAACATATAGCTAAATATAGAAAAATAATATATTATGACCAAGTTGGTTTTATCTCATCACTGCAAGTTAGATTCATTTTTTTAAAAAAAATCCTTAAATATAAAAAAAAAAATCACACTTAACAGATGAAAGAATATAAGTCATTTGGTCATCCCAGTAAATACAGAAAAACATTTAACAAAATTTAGTAAACTAGGAATAAAAGAGAAACTTCTTATTTTTATACCAGCAATTAAATCCAGGGGTGCTTTACCACTGAGCCACATCCCCAGCCCCTTTTAACTTTTATTTTGAGACAGGATCTTGCTAAGTTGCTTAGGTCCTCTCTAAATTGCTGAGGCTGGCCTTGAACTTACAATCCTCCTGTCTCAGCTTCTGGAAYCACTGGGATCATAGGTGTGAGCCACCACCCCCAGCAAAGAGAAACTTCTTAATCTGATATAGAATGTTTATCAAATGAGTGTACCATCATTAATTTATTACACTTTGGCTAGTGTTGAATATTTGGATTCCCTTTCTTCTTATTTTGTTGAATATTTAGATTCCCTTTCTTTTTATTTTGTTGTTATAATTTAGGGTGGAATGAATATCTTTGTGCGTGTTCATCAAATTGCCTAACTTCTTAATGCCTCTGATTCCTCACRGATAGGATACACCTAACACAGCAACTAACTCATATGGGTATGAAAAGGGTTAAATATAACATTACATTCAGGTCTTAGGGAGGCAGGAAAAAAAAGTATGGCTTAAAAATCTGAGAAACACTTGTTCTGTATTTACCTGGTGGCGGATCTCCCACAGCACACCGAAGGCTCAAGTCAGATGTCACTCTGTCAAAAACAAAGAAAATCATTATTTTAGATTATCAGGAACTAAGGATAGACTTACTATCTGAAGACCGCAACCCGTGGTGGGACTGTCACCTGCTCTAGGATTCCTGGGCATCATCTGACACTTTCTTCCATCCCATCCTCTAGCCCTCTAATGCGTGGAGTGTGACCCTGCCGTGGTCCTCATCTGCCTGGGATCTACAGCACTTCATTTTTGCCACAGCCTGGGTGATAATTCTAAAACTTGAGTAGGACACTCTTCTCCTGAAACCCCTTCCACAATTTCCTCTGACCCCTTCCATGGAGGACAGACTCCTTGCCATGGTTAGAGGGCCCTGCCTCCACTTCATGCCCTTGTCGTTCATTCCTGTACCACTCTGGGTTCCTGCTGCTCCAGTGGTCCTTGAGCTTCCTACTCCTGCACCTCCCTGCTGTCGCATGCACTTCTCACTCTGACAGCCCTGTCCTTCCTGCTTCCCAAATCCCTTCCACCACCGGGCTCACTCCCATGCATCCTTCTGATTTCCACCTAAGAGTCCAGCTGCTGCCCTTGACTGTTGGACTCCCCGTGAACACGCCCAGAAGGCTGTACTYTTCCTTCTGTAACACCATACCATGCAACGCGTTTACTCTCTGGTCTCCCCTGTGACAAGGAATCATCTCTGTTCTCAGCTGTACCCTCCATGCCTAGCCCAGCAGTAGTCTCCCAGAAGACACTGAAGTCCTCATTGARTAAATCTGTAGCTTCCCAACTCATCGTTTGAGTCATACTGACAATTTCATAGGTGTCTCACTTCAATACCATGTTTCATTGATTGTTATGATTCGCTGATCAGAAGCAATGTATTATATACACAAAGAAGAAAATGGCAGCACATTGAAATGTGATAGAAGGCTAAGACGATATTTTTAATGCTGTACTTATTATTGCTTTTTTTACATATGGTGTTTTATTTTGTCTATAAAATGGAAAATATGAAAATATAAGTGAAATAAATTGGGTAGGTATTTCCATTTAAATTGGTGTCCACACAGTATTGTCCTCTGTGCTACCAAGAACATAAGTGGTATGGCATTTCTTACAAGAAGGCTCAAGGATTGACTTTGGGACTTTTTCCTAAGTTTATGACATCTTTGAACAAGTATTGATGTTGGCAAGAAAATCTTAGTAATACGTGTCAACAATTTGATTTCAGCCTAAGACCCACATTTCTTTCTCAGTCATCCTATGCATCACTGACAGAAACCATCAGGGGCTTTACTTCATACAAACAGAACMGTAATTTCACATAAGGACAGGCACTGCCACTACAGAGACTCTACAGAGACCTTTGCAAAGTTAACAAAAGAAGAATGCAAGTTCCCTCCCCCACCCCCCACACAGACCATATTCACTCACATGTGGTTAGAGGCATGACCACAAAWTTTTATTCCTCACATATTGGGTGGGGGACAAATCAGCTCACATTCCTGTAGCTAAGCCCTGGCCCTGGTGCTTCCTATCCAGAGGAAGAAGGCATTTCTGACTTCCCACTACCCAATGGAGGACAGCAGTCTCCCTGAGGAGTCTCTCCTAACTATTTTTTTGTCCTATTAAAAATGTTTAAAGGCACAGTTTTTTGATTAAATTTAAGTTTCTCACAAACCTATCATCACATTAGAACAGGAAGCCATAGTGCCAGAAGTTTCCTAATCCTCAATCCAGCATTTCAAGACCTCATGGGCTTGGTTTTAAAGACTGAAAAGTGGTTTAAAAATAAGGAGTAAAAGGAGAAAAGCCAATAGACCTCTCTGTGACTCTGTTTCCTCATTCGTAAAATGGACTTGTAGGACTGGATGATGTATTAGTTCAGGGTGGCAGCAGGAAAGAGATGATATACTCATGAGTGAACTTTAATGAAGGGGACTATTTAGAAGGAATGAGCAAGGTTAAGGAAATCACCATGGGGTGGTGACATGGGTGCCCACCATGGGCCAAATCAAAACAGAAACCAAAGGACAGAGAGGCCCATTGGTGTAGTTTAAGGAGATAAGCCTCCCAGGACCCAGAACAGTATGGGAAGGAACAGATTGGGTTTGAAAGGATGAACAGAGAACATGCAACCCACGGAGTCCCTGGGCTGTCCTGGAGCTCCGATTCCCTGTGAGTGKTCTGATGCAGAATCCAGCTTTGGTTACAATTCACAATAGCCAAACCATGGACCAGCCCAGTTCTCCACCGATGGATAAAAGGATAAAGAATATGTGGAATAGATACACAATGAGGTTTTATTCAGCCACAAAGCAAAATGAAAGTATGTCACTTGCAAGAAGATGGATAAAACTTGAGAATATTCTGTTAAGTAAAATAAGCCAAGCTCAGAAGGTCAAGGGTTGTAGGTTTTTTCTAAATGTGGAAGCTAGAAGGAAAAAAGAAAAATAGAGGCAGGGAGGGGGGATCTCATGAAAATCAAAGGGAAATCAGGAGAACGGAGGTAAGGCAGGGGGAGGAGGAGGGCAAGGGGGGAGTGCTGGGGAGTGATACCAGCAATATATATACCTGCACTCACACCCAGGCCAGAATGATTATTCCATGTTAAAAAGCAGGAGTTATGGAGTGCTCATTCCTAGGACCAACAGAGGTATGAGAGTCTTAATTTAAAGAATCAAGAGGATCCTATTGAAAGTCCATATTGTTATACTATGTGCATGAACTAATACGTAACAATACATCCCACCATTTTTAACAACTATAATACACCAATAAAATATGGGGAAAAAAGAATTAAGCTTTGCTGTGGCAAGAAGAAATTTCTGAATATTTATTCCCAAGATTTGAGCAACATCCACCAGGATACAGCTCCTCCTTATTGAGTGTGCTTAGGTCAGAGAGCAGCTCTCACTCTCTGCTCTCGGAAACAGCTCCCACCTGTTCACTCAACAGTCCCTGCTTTGCTTTAATGGAGCTCTTACAAATGTGGGATTCTGTTGGATTCTGTTGATCCAGAAGTGGATCAGTCTGTGTTTGCTGCTTTAGAAAAAAAGTTTCCAGCAGAAGTGAGGAGGGGAAAGGCTTTTGACTGTAAGCRAGGCCCTTAATGGGTCAGAGAATGGACATCACAAAGACTTGGGGAAGTACTCACCACACCCAGGCCAGAATGATTATTCCATGTTAAATTAAAGCATGGACCTCATTGACATTTCAGTTCCTAAGAAAAGAATTCCCGAATCCTTTCTTATCAATCCAAGAGAGTTAATGGTAAGCACCACGTGGGTCGTTTCCTCATCTCACAACACCTTTTAAAATCTCCCAGTCTCTCCCTTCACTGGGCCAGTACTCCAAGTATCACGTGCCCACCATGGGCCAGGAGTTATGGTGTGCTCATTCCTAGGACCAACAGAGGTATGAGAGTCTTAATTTAAAGAATCAAGAGGATCCTATTGAAAGTCCATTTGAATCCACTGCTGCTTCTCAGGAAACTTCTATCATCCCCCACCCTAAAATCCCAGCTGTGGTGCTGGCCAGTTTCTAGCATCTCCTGACTTGGAGTGAAGGTGCCCTGCTCCAGAGCACGTGGGGTTTTGCMGAGCTCAGCCATTAGAGAGATGTCATGCTGTGCTGTGAGAGTGCTCTTAGAATAAAGGGGAATCACACTGGGCTAGAACGAAAACCCATTTGGAAAGAAACAAAAATAAGTTTTCAGAGAAAAGCATGTGTTTGCTTCCTTCCAATAAGCCAAATTATTTCCAAGAGGCTTTATCAAGTGAAGGAAGACTCTTAACTTCTGATAAACAACACAATAAATGGAGGAGAGAGGCTGCCATCCCCACTACTCTGAAAAGGGAGTCCAACTGGGGCAGAGAGGTCAGTATTGAGCCAGCTAGATGACCGTGGCCACACTGCTTCACCTCTCCTTCCAGATAAGAAAAATCCCAACTGCAAAAGTGCTAGAGATGGYGGGCACAGAGGTGCACACCTGTCATCTCAGTGGCTCAGGAGGCTAAGGCAGGAGGATCGCAAGTTCAAAGATAGCCTCAGCAACTTAATAAGGTGCTAAGCAACTCAGTGAGACCCTGTCTCTAAATAAAATACAAAATAAGGCTGGGGATGTGGCTCAATCCCCAGTAACTCCCCCAGGGGAAAAAAAAAAAAACAGCCAAAAAAAAAAATAATAATAATAATTATCAAGGTCCCTTCCAGCCCTAAGAATAAATGACTTTCAAGCTGGGAAATGGATTTTCAAATTCAGAATCCGAGGATTTGACCTTGAAAAATGAAGTTAAAAAAGAAGAACTGCCGTGAACAGCCAACAAGGTTCTGGGCTGACAAGAGGAAAAGGAAGCACAGTGCAGATCTTGTCCTCCTGGTGTCTCAACACAGCCTTGGTGCATCTCCGCTCAGAATGGGCTATTGCATGCATCTCAAGAACGCCCTTCCATAAAAGGGATCCTCCCGTGTGGCTCCTCTGTAACATTACACAGAGCAGTTCTGCCGCCGCAGCTTCACTCCGCTCCGGACTCAACTTTGGATGAAACTATCCCAACTGCATGATCCGTCAAGTGTAAAGTCTAATCTTTGTTGCTTTTTTTGCCAGAGTCCTTAGAAAGAAGAAAGCCAGATGTGGAACTTGTCTGTTTCATGGGAAACTGGGAAGCAAACAGAACGCAGCAAGGCCAATTGTAATATTTTACAGTTTTTGAAAAGCCACCATCTAAACATACCAGAAATAACAAATTTTCAAAACTGACAAAGTCGAATGTCTCTTGAACACCAAAAAAAAAAAAAAAGCCTGTTATGAATAATTCTGAATAAAGCAATCTGTCAGTTGTAAAATGCAAGTACTTCTTTATAAATAGTTTGCGTGTTTCCAACTCTCTCAATAGATACCATTTTAACATATGAAAAATATTCAGAGAGAACTCCATCAACTTCAGAAAACATTAACTTACCAGTTACTTCCGTAACATCAGGCTGGCTCTCCCAGAAGCCCTTAGCACTTACCATCCCTTGCCCAAACCTGC